CACATGAGTCATATCCTGTTCACACTTGTAAACTGTACTGTGTTTTTTTTCTTCTAAGGGTGAAAGAAATGGAGCGAGCGAGGCTGAGCTGTCCCATCACCCCCCTGGGCAGAGCAATGGCTTCATTCCCTGTGGCGCCGCGCTATGCTAAAATGTTAGCTCTCGGTAAGCAGCAGGATTGCCTGCCCTTCGTCATTGCTGTGGTAGCAGCCATGACAGTCCGGGAGCTCTTCGAAGACCTTGACAGGTATGGACGCATGTTTGCTCTAATGCTATCTGTTTATAGACAAACATGTCAGGCCTTGCTTATAGAAATTGATGCTTCAGAGGGGGAATAGATTAACTGACACAAACATGAACTTAAAATTACTTGAATGTAACAAGACACGCAACACTTTAAAGCTCGGTGGTCTTCTTTATAAAGCACATTTTGTTTTTATGTTTTTAAACCTGTAACACATTTTCATTTCTCCTCAGACCTGCAGGTAGTGAAGATGAGAGCTCCAAGCTCACCCAGCGTCGCGCTCGCCTGACACAAATGAGGAGGCTGTGGGCTGGACAAGGAGCGTCACTCCAGCTGGGGGACCTCATGGTCATGCTGGGTAAGCTTTTTGTTCAGGTGACAATACTCGACAGTGTTGCGCAATAGACTGTTGCTCTGTCATATGTTGACCTTTAAAAGTGACATGACATGGCTTCAAAAACACAAATTTCTTCCAGGTTTCAGCATGAAGCAGGTTTTCAGGGTGAGACTTAACATCAGGAGACACTTGATTTGACTGTGGTGCCCCAAATTTTGTTTTGAACATAAATTTTACATTCACCTCCAACTGCAAGATGCATTAGCAATTTTTTTTTTTTATTGCACAGAATGATTTATATTAAGTACATCAATTATTATATACTATATTTCTGATTACAGGTGCTGTTGGTGCTTGTGAATTTGCTGGTTGTACTCCGAAGTTTTGCGAGGAGAACGGCCTAAGGTATAAAGCCATGGTCGAGATCAGGAGGCTCAGAGGACAACTTACCAACGCAGGTACACACACAAGCACGCGCACAGAGAAAAAACTTAACAGATGATGTGCTTTAGAAACAAAACAGAAGATCATTCGTGTTCTCTCATCACAGTGAACACAGTGTGTCCAGAGGTGGGAGTATTTGTGAATCCCAAGATGACTCCACCGACAGAGCACCAGGTGGTTTGCTTGCGGCAGATTGTTCTGGCCGGACTGGGAGACCATCTTGCGAGGCGTGTACAGGCTGAAGACATACTGGACCCAAAATGGAAGAATGGATACAAGGTAAGTTGCTCTGAGGACTGTTATTGTGATGTAAGAGAATCCACTGTCACTCTCCTTCTCACCATTTTCTTTTTTTGTTCATAGACGCCTCTAATGGACGAGCCAGTGTTCATTCATCCCACCTCTGCGCTGTTTAAAACACTGCCGGAGTTTGTCGTCTACCAGGAGATCATGGAGACCACCAAGATGTACATGAGAGGTAAATGAACTTTGGGGAAACGCCAGATGTGGTATCTGGTTGTGTTAGTGCCCTTTTAGTGCTAATGTAGAGCGCTGTCAAGTGTGGAAAAAAAAAACAAAAAAACAGGGTCTTGTTTATTCTTTTTATCCTTTTCAGATGTGTAGTGCAAGTTAAGGTTGAATGGAATAGCTAAGGTGTTGCACAGATTTAAGCAAGGTTAGCATTCAGTATGGCTTCCCCTTTCAAGCCCTCACTCACCCACACATTGATAACCTTTGAGTTAATATGAAGTGCAGCTGGGACATGCCGAACTGTGTGTCATCAAAGCCAGTCACATCTCACATCTCTAGTGTGATTTTCTTATCCTTGTTTCACATGACAGTTTTGAATTCACATGCGCTTACTCGATTTCCATCTGCCCGTCATAACTCTGAATCTGTGCAGATGTTTGACTTCTATATTGATCAGTACTGAATGAGTGTCTGTTTGCGTGGATATTGTTTTTACTCATTTTTGATTTTGTGTTTCCTGAAAATCCTGTTGACAAGTCACATTTCCATTATACTAAATTTTTATACAAAATACTTAGGACAACAAATTTCGTTCAATTGTATTGGAGCTGCTGTTATTAAAACTAGGTTTGCAGGCTGATGGTTTCACCTGGTCAAATGTCTTCCTTTCTGTCTCTGTCAGGTGTGTCAGCAGTAGAGGCAGAGTGGGTCCCCAAGCTTTTACCACAGTATTGTCATTTCGGCTCCCCTCTGGATTCGCCTCCGCCGTGGTTCTGTTCGTCCACTGGCTCCATCAAATGTCACCGTTCAAGCACCTTCTGTAAGTTTTCTACAGCTGAGCGCCGTGGCTATGTTTGTGCTGAAACGTGTCTCTGACTACATGTGTTTAATTGTTGTGTCTCTCTTGCAGTCCGTGTAGCTTGGCAGCTACCAGCAGTGGAGATGGAATATCCAGACGGCCTGGAGCGTTACAAGCTGTTCGCCAAGTTTCTGCTTGAGGGACAGGTACTCAAAACCTGCAAAGTTCCCCATCTCTGTTCAGTCTTAAGTTTCATTTGGGTATTACCTGATCAATTTGTTCAATAACACCAGTCCTGACCATTGCTGGAGGCCAAAATAAACGTGGTATTCCTAAGATCCCCAGTAGAGCTGCTCTTCCTGGGGTTCATATTCCAGTTATACAGTAAATAATAGTTACACTATCACCACTATACCCAACCCACACCTAGAGTTTGTTTGCTCTGGTCCGAATTATTTGATAAGTTTGAAAACTTTCACAAAGAGAAAAATCCAAGCAAACCACGTGAGAACGTTCACTCTGCTTGTTGGTATGGCTGGAGAATAAAACAATAACAATAATTATCGCGATATAATTTTATTTCAATAAAAATATAAAAAATGTTTTGATTTGATTCACTTGAATCACACACAAATTAGGACTGAATTTTTTATTAAGATGTTTATTTTGTTGAGGAAAAAGGATTTTATCATTATATTTTTTTAATGTTCTCCCTCAGATTTGTGAAGTAATCCACTGTTTGGAATCAAATGTTTGTCATGTTCTGAACTTAAAGAAGACTTTAAACCACAATTAACCATCAGGTTTCTTCAACTTTCACTGAGGAGCAAAAATCAGCCTTTAAACTCAAAAGAAATAAAGATTTGATACTTATTGTGATAATTATCAATATCGAAAGATATAAAACTTTATATTGTGATAACATTTTTGGCCGTATCGTCCAGCCCTGCTTGTTGGTCAGATGCTGATGTCAGAATTTAACTGGACCTAAAATGTGCAGGTGTGAAAACGCCCTAAAAAGCTGTAAAACGATGTCTGCAACTGACCAAACCTGACTGGAAAACTTAGTTATGGTTTGTAATGTTTGCTTTGTCTGGTTTGCAGGTTTGTCCTAAACTAAAGAAACACAGCGGCCACCTTCTCTCAAACCCCTCCATCATGCTGAAAACATGGGCAAAGTAAGTTGGTACTCTCATGCACACATTGCCCTGTCCCCTGAAAAGCATGTCTTCATTTTTGTTAATCAACAAATTGGCTTGTTTCAAGGAAGGACTTTTTTCTAACTGTTGTGTCTTTGCTGCTTCAGACTGCAGCCCAGGACGGAGGCTTTGCTGGGAGAGCTGGTGTCAAAGAGGGTTAACTGCAGAGATGCCCTCCTCTCTGTCTGGAAAACCGAAGATAAATGTGAGGATTCAGTGCGCTCGACATGACGTTGCCTGAGTCTAATGTGATTAACCTTCTTGTCATTTATTTTCTATCATATTTTTTTCTCCCCCCACAGTTCTGTTGTCCGCATACTGCCAATGGTTACCTGAAGCCATGCATCAAGAAGTAGCCAAAAGTTGGCCTCCGATATGAAGGCTTACATCTGGAAAGAAAACAGAAAACGATATTGCACACTTGACCAGAGACCCCTGGAAACTTACAGTTCCGTGTAAATCTGTTCCTTACCATCAGAGGGCTTCTTCACACCTGCTAATGTTTTAAATATTCTCTCAAAGTGCAACTACAATACCACAACACTGCCTTTTCTCAGTTTTGTATTTTATGTGCAGTATGACTTTTTTTTTTTGTGTTTTTTTCTTTCAGCAAAAAAATATTACAACTATAGCTCTATAATGACATTTAACTTGTTGCCAGTGTGCTGCTGTTAGTTATGTATGTCTGATTTGGTCTTCATAAGACTCATTAAACTGTGTTGCTCTGAATAAGACTGGTGTGTTATTTATTCATGTTGGATGTAAAGTGTGGTTGATAAATATTAAAGGGTAGCTCTACTGATTATTAGTATTAATCAGCCTGTCAACACAGTTTTGAGAAATATTCCTGGTTATGTCATCTGGAAGCTGTAATTGGTTGAGACTGAAAGTGAATTTTTGACACTCACCACACGGTCTATTAAGTCGTTTTTTTGGGAGCTTTTGATTGTTTCACACCATCTTCCTCAGCTGATTAGTTTGCCCAGTTGTCAGAATTATAGAGGTTAAAATGTCTGTTTTACAGACTGTGTCAAAGACTTTACATCCGTGTTTGTTCAAAGGTTCAGACTAAAAGTTAATTCCTGACTTGGCAATAAAGAGGAGAACTTCTTGACCAAGGCTGAGGGTAGGACATACTAGATGTAATAAAACGCTGCGCTTAATAAACAAGCACCCCTCAGGATTATGTGAACAGTGTCAATGAGAGGAATCAGTAGAACATGTAATTCTTCACTGTCAAAACGGGGGAAGACAGGAAGCTTGGCCTGGAAGAAATGAGTTGATCCATAGAATTTAATGTGCAGTGTGAGTTTCTTGTTTGTTTGTTTTTTAAAGGATAGAGAGCTCTTATACGTAATATAGAAGAAGTAATTCCTGACCCTATAAACAGCAGGTGACAAAACAAACTCGCCACTAGGTCCATTTGGCAGCTGTTAAGAAAAACAGCTGGCAGTTCCTGAACTGCTGATTATTTCAACAGACTGCTGTGATTGGCTAACGTCTGTCGTGTCGTCACTTCCTGCTGTCAGCTCGTACACTTCCGGAAGAAGCGGATGACAACAGTAGAAATCTAAAGCCCAGAAGCAATTTTTCAAATAAGAAAGCTGATATTTCGACCTGAGTCGTTGGACGACCAACGGGCTAAACTGTCGACATGGTGAGTAACACTTGTATTTTGTCCAGCGTTGACGATACATTAAACTTAAATCAAATAAATCGTACTTGGAGCAGTTTAGCTAGCGCGCGGCTAACAACAACACGACAGCAGCAGGAAGATGCCCTGTCATGATGGAAATGCACGTTACGATCTCACGTAAAATATTTCAAGTATGTGTTTTAATTAGTTTATTGTCTTTGTTCCACAGTTTTCCTTCCACGTATTCGACCACCCGATGTCCCGGGGCTTTCAGAACCGCTTCTCCACGCAGTACCGCTGCTACTCGGTGTCCATGCTGGCAGGTCCCAACGACCGCTCCGACGTGGAGAAAGGAGGCAAAAGTGAGCTTTAATGTCATAAAAGTTACCCTTATATTGGCATACACTGCCAGTTAAGCGTTTGAGAACAAACTTTTTGTTGGTAAAAATCTCTTGAAATCGAGTATAAAGTCGTGTTTTTATTGGATAAACTAATTGATAATATCTTCAATATAATATCTGTCAATCTTGGATTCTTTGGTCCACAATGCTCCCCCTCGTTTTTCAGCAGTCTAGTCCTTCTGATTCTTGTCCCAATCAAATATATGAACCCTGTTTTTGTTTCCCAAATTTGAAGGCCCACCCACAAAAACGTATCCCCACTCAGAAGACTGTTTTTTAGACAAGTATTTACTTCATCTTTCTTTCAAAGGTCTCCAGTGAAATGCAGTTAAAAGTGCAGATTGAGTAAAAAGTCACTAAAAACATAAACTATGATATCGGTGAATCATCCCTGCTTTCTAGTGTTGTCTCCTGTTGGTCAGTTTCTTATGTTGGCTCATGTTCTGGTGCTTATGAACATGTCTGTGGTTCTGGATCTGACAAACGTTTGTCAGGTCAAGCTTTTTGATAAAATAAGTGTTGAAGGTTTTAATTAAGTTGTACAGCAGTTTCTCAGAATAATGGTTGCTTGTTTTTTTGTTGTTGTAAGGTGATATTTCCCTCATTATTACATTAGGACTGTATTTGTTAGTACTAACCTTTTAAACTCACAGGTACTAATTAGCTAGTGCTTTATTAAAGATGCACAGGAAACTCCTACCAGTTAAGCCTATAAATAATAAAAACACATGGACACTGCTACATCCCTCCACTTCTATTTTTTTCTGCATTGCATTCTCAACATTGGCTAACATGCTTTGTTGCTGCTTTAGCGTTAGATACATGAGTATGTTGTCTGCTACAGGCGTCTAATTAGACTGATCAAGTTCTCATTTTCTTTCCAAGTAGACCAAATTAATTTATGATAAAGTGAAAGGTCACAAATTATTGTGTCGGGGTTGTGTTTTTGTGATTTAATGTCTCAACTAATTCACTTTTTCCCCCTCCAGTAATAATGCCACCATCAGCTCTCGACCAGCTCAGTAAGTGGAAGTTAAATTAAGCACTTCTTCATTATAAAAGTCCTGTGTGAACCTTCCGTGACAATTATTATCTTTATCGTCTTTTTCTGTGTGCAGGCAGGCTTAACATCACTTATCCAATGTTGTTCAAGCTGACCAACAAGAACTCAGACAGAATGACACACTGTGGTGTGCTGGAGTTTGTGGCAGATGAGGGAATCTGCTACCTGCCACACTGGGTGAGAAACAGGAGTTTAATGTTGGTGTCACAACTGTCTGCTGTCACCAGTGGTGCTTCCTAAGTAGATGAAGGATAATTATATTAAATTAAAATACCACTTTAAAAATCAAGTGAAGTAAGTGAAGTTTAAAAAAAACATATGGAATAAAAGTAACTGAGTGAGTTTATAGGAATGTATAAAATGATGGATGTGATCTATACAAAACTCTGACAACATGTCTTATATTGTGTCCGAAAATGCTTTTAAAGCTACTTTGTAAGTATCAATCAAGGCAGTGCTGAAATGTGCTTTATTGTCTTTGCTGCAGATGATGCAGAATCTCCTGTTGGAGGAAGGTGGTTTGGTTCAAGTGGAAAGTGTTAACCTTATGGTGGCCACTTACTCAAAGTTCCAGCCACAGAGCCCCGACTTCCTGGACATCACAAACCCCAAGGCAGTGTAAGAAATATTAGTCAGGATAATCTCATTCACATTTTGTGTTTAACAAAAGTGTTTAACTAAGTTGTCACTTTATTACAGACTGGAGAACGCATTGAGAAACTTTGCCTGCTTGACAACTGGAGATGTCATAGCTATCAACTACAATGAAAAGGTAAATCAAATTTTTCAAATTAGTGTTGTACTCACACTGTTGTATTAGTGTTGTCTTTATTTCTTTTTACTGAATACCACTGCTAAAGGAATCTGTTGTTTTGTTTCAGATATATGAGCTACGAGTAATGGAGACCAAGCCAGATAAAGCAGTATCCATCATTGAGTGCGATATGAACGTAAGAATTTCTGTATTATCACAAACAACAGTGAATTATTCTGTTGTGTTCTCCACTTTTAATGTGTCGTGACTCTGGTTGTCAGGTGGATTTTGATGCACCTTTGGGTTACAAAGAGCCTGAACGACGACCTCAGCACCAGGAAGAACCAACAGTAAGCACCAAACCCTGAAGGTATCTGTACACTTTATGCTGTGAACACTTAAATAAAGCAAATTTCTTCACAGGAGGAAGAAGCAGATCCCAGCAGTTACGCTGACATGGACACAGGATTCAGAGTGAGTAAATGTTGCTGATGTCTTTATAATTTCTAATAGCCATGATAATTGGAGTTAACGTAACTTCTAATCTGTTTCTAATCCCCAGGCTTTTACCGGCTCTGGCAATCGTTTGGATGGTAAAACAAAAGGGATTGAGCCCAGCCCTGCCCCTCTTGGCCCAAGTGACATCAAAAGGTGAAAACTTGTTCAGTATTTTATAAGTGTAGACATGAAGTGGCCTAAAAGTTAAATATTAAAATCCAACTATTTAATATGTCCTCTAAGATTTCGTTTGGGGAGATTTTGTTTGGGGAGATTTTGTTTTGCTGCAATATCCTTTGGAATAATTGGATATGTCAAAATTATGTCCACACAAGTGTTTCTGTTTTGTTGCCACTGACAAGCTCAGACTGTTACGCCAACACAACAAGCTCCTCCTTCTAACTCTGTTACTCGTAAGGATCCTTTCTATTAACGATGGAATGTGGTTCTACTTCTTGTTAATTACAGCCATGCGTAAAATCAACTACGTAACTATATGCTTTGCGTAGCCGGGTTTTATTTTTTCATTCCCTCCAAACCAGATCATGGAAATGTTCCTAATTCGCATTTTCTTTTTAGCAACATTTCAAAAGTTTGCTTAAAACGTCGCTTGACAATTAGATGGAAACATAGCTATTGTTATAAACCTCGTATAACATTCTGTAATCTCTGACAAAGTTCGAGCAGTGTGAGCCAGTCTGTATCATGTTCTCGATTTGTTTTGTTTTTTTGCTGGTCCTACAGACTGATGTACAAACTATTGCTATGATGCCCTGTGAGTGACCGCTATGGCCCAGTAGAGCAAGGCAGTGACAAAAGGCTATTATGTTTGAGGTCTAAAGCCTGTCGCTGTTTCTGTAGGTGTTAAACTCTCTGCTGCCTGTTGCTCACTTGTTTCTCCATGTCCTCTCGTTTTGGTGTTGCATGACGTGGCCAGCTTGATTTTTAGCAGCTGTTATTCAGAATTTGGCCATTCAGCTACTTGCAAAGACTCACCCAGGCTTGCAGCACCTGACAGCTAGGATGTGCTTTTGCACATGTGACATATGTGACGGTCAAAGTTTCACAGTTTGTAGAGACCCTTAGTGGCACCTATTCAGGCTTTTTTAACCACACTGAACATTGTATCAGTGTGTAAATACCTAATCTGAAACTCTAATCTTTCATCACACAGAGGCATTCCCAACTATGAATTCAAAGTTGGCAGGATCACCTTCATCAGGAACTCGAGGCCTCAGCCCAGGAAGTTTGTTGACGATGTAAGAAATGTGAAGTATTTTATCACACTTTTTTTAATACTGGATGTAACTAGGCTGTATTTGCAGTTTCTGACACTTTTCCAGTACAACCTTTTCCCATAGCATTTTATTTTGTGATTAATTTTATTTATTAGTATTAAATTCTCTAAATGCATTATCTCATGTATCACTCATGCTGTCGTTTCATTTAACTACATTTTAATCCTCTCAGGATGACGCATTGAACAGATTCATCGCCTTCTCTGGAGAAGGACAGTCACTACGCAAGAAGGGCAGAAAGCCTTGAAGGATTACAAGTGGAGTGACTGGCTAATGTGCACAGACTCACCATATCTATTGTCACCTTCAACAGCAAAGTAAAAACAAACTGGCCTTCGGATGCATTTTGGTTTTGTTTCTCTGTCTCTTCAAACTGGGAGTTTTGCTGTTGAGTTGAGATGATATGTAAATAAAATTCTCACAGTAACATTTTGCTCAACAGAAGCTGGGCTGCAGAAAATGCTGACGGTTGTAATTTGGTAATCACATGTTACAGCGTGACTGATTATAGCCAGGCATCATAAATTCACCACAATGCCAACACAAAGAATAGTTTGTGAAGTATTGTTATATCAGATTTGAATTGACTTTGAGTTATAGCACCCCCACCCCCCCCTTCAATAATTGTTGCATTTTTACAATTCACGTCAGGTATAGTATCATCCAGAGTCCCATTCTTACGACAGAATTGGAGCAATAACAGCTCTATACTTTTGTTTTTAATTACAAATAATTTTATTTGTTTTTTTCCTGAGTTATAGGAATAATTTGCAAGTGGTTTTTCCTTTTCTGGTGTATTTATAGACAAATAAAGGACTGTTTTGAAATTAATTGTAGCTAATAATTATTTTTGTAATGTCTTAAGCATGTACATGAACTATCAAATGAGACTGGAATATAATCGTTTCAGTATCTGGTAATTTCTTGACTGAAGTTGGACACATTTATTTATAAATAAGCGCATGATTAGCGGTTGGGTCAATAATCAGTACTTTAAAACTGTAATAGATAAGAAAATATTTAAAAAGCCAAGAAGAAATGTCCAAAGTTATGTAAAACAGTTAAAAAATAAAATGTCACTATTATAGTTAGGTAGGTAGATTTATTTTGTCAGGTTACAGAGTGAAATTGAGTTTGTAACTCCCTTCTGCCATGTAGCAGACAATATAGATACAATATAGAAGCAAAATATAAATTAATGGTAAACAAATAAACTATATTAAATGGAGCAGTGCTGAGGATGAATCTGAGTTTAAACTTCTAATAGCTTGGGGGAAAGCGCTGCTCTGCAGTCTGGTGTTTAGTATTGTGATGGGTTGACGTTTGCTTATGAAAGTGCGTCTTTTCAAATTAAGTGCTGTAAAATTGTGTGGTAGGGCTTTTATTGTGAAATTAAATCGAATCGGAAGTATTGTTCCTGTTGAAGCCGAGCTAATGCAGCTAGCAATGGAAAGCTCTGAAGAGAGACCGTGGAGGGTAATTTGTCCAAACATTATATCGTTAATTATGTTGTTGGTTAAATGTCCTGATTGTATTTCATCTGCCTTGTTGATAGTCCTGATAAAGAGTGAAAAGTGCCAGATCAGATGATTAACGTCAGCTATCGTTGCTAACCGAAGTAACCTTAGCTAGCAGCAATAAGCTGTCAGACAGAGCAGGAGGTTTTAACAGAAACATTTATTATTTATCTGATTCACGATTTGCTTTACGATCTAGCTAGCTTAGTTAAGTCTAAAAACTAACGCTACATGTAAAAATAGATGACGTTAGTCACTAGTAACTCTACTATCTCTGATATAATGAAATATAATCAGACAATGAATCAATATAAATTGAAATTACTCACAGCTAAATGATATGAAATTGTTTCACCCAGATTTTGTTTCAGAATGGTATTTTCCCAAAATCTGTCACAATGCCATTTTCTCCCCATAGTTTTATTTAATTAGGCCTCTTTTTTATTTAATCACCAATTCTTAGTCAATTAAGACAGTCTTGAATGAGGTTGGAATTTTAACCTCACTGAAGCAAAAACCACAGAGAGCAGCACAACTTAATCACTCCCCAGTTGATCATTTACATTCTCTGACATTGCTGTCATCCTGTGGCCCCTATATGTGCATGTTAGGTGTGACCACGGAAGTGGACGTGATGCAGTAATTCACCAGAAACACAACAGTATGGGTTCAAAATATTATTTGTATAAGTTGGCTTGGTGATGATTCCTACCTTTGTCTGTTTGCACAGTCACCCCGGGCCTGTGATGACTATTGGAGTGAATTCAGACATTGCAAAAGCTTGTGGAACCGTTTTCATCACTATTACACTTACGGTACCTCCCCATCCTGCCACCAATGGAAAGAGGACTACCATAACTGCAGAGAGTGGGAGAATCACAAAAGCATAGAGGCCAAGGTAAAGCTGCAGGAAGTCACCTTGTTTAAAGATCTAAACTTTTGAGCTTTCTGAGACTATCCAGGGTGTCTGAATGTCCTAAAGAATTCATGTAAACACTGAAAAAGATATCTTGAAAATGGAGTCAGCCATTTTATATGTAATCTATCTAAATTACAGGAAGCCTTGCAGAGGAGTGAGAGGAACAGAGTGGCAGAGCAGAGAAAGTTCAAACCAGTGTGGGAACTGAGGCGAGACCCTCCCAGAGACTGGCACATGCCCCTGAACCAGGAAAAACCTCAGGACTCCTGAACTGTCGGCGGCCAAAGCAAAGTGAAATGAAGATTCGAGATTCGTGTCACTTGATAGATTTAAGGAACTTCTTCAGGGCCACATGTTGGAGGAGACTGTCCATCACTCATTGCCATCTCAAGTTGTGTTCACTGAGCTGCTGTATAAAACCAGATGTGTTGAAACAGCAGGGGCGACATCTAGTGGTCAATGATGAGGATGACCGCATCTATTTCACCAGTGAATTACAATATAATCATTTATGATGATCATAAATAATTATTAAACAAAACTTGTGTAACCTTCAGCACACATGCCGACTGCACTCACAGACTCGCTGTAAATGAGTTTTAATATTGGGTCAAATTATGCATTGGATTTTCAAGAGCCCATAAAAGTAATAAAGGATCTGTAGTGCATTTCTCAATTAGACTGTGTCAGAATTTAACCTTGGTAATATGCTGTTTTCGATCTGTAGATACTCCTGTGGCTCAATAGTTATTATTGATGCATTAATGACATAGTTTCAACCTATACAGAGTTGTGCATTAGCAGTTTTCTGCCTTTATGTAATTATTTTTACCCTTAAATAACACAATGTAAAAATTATTCCACAAATTGCATCAATAAAAAGAACATTTTATTTGCTGGGTTTTTTTATGCTATGTTTTAAACAGATGGAAGAAAACCCAACAGTTCGACTCATAGTTTCCATGAACGCTGTTGCATTTGAACGAAACAAGTGAGGTGACTGAACAATTGAATGAACAATTGAAAAAGGATAAAACATGTGCCAAGGGTCCGTCACACCTACACACGCAGGCTGTTCAAAGGCTGCATCTTGGCTAATTGAATCATGTACAAACAAGGACATGCAATTTATGACACTATACACAGGCTGCACCCACAGCTGTTCACTGTCCATCACTGTGTGTAGACTTTAGTGATGTTGTTGTACTTCCCATCAGGCGCTTCATACGTGGTCTTTGGCGGTGTGTAGGTAGGACCTTCATGAGTGAAGGGAAACAGAAGGGGGTCTGGCTTCAGCGCTGCCTGGTACAGATCCTCTGACTCTAACTTCAGCTCCTCCAGCGCCTCCCTCTGTGCTTTTAGAGAAAGTTCAACAGCCTGCACTTCAGCCATGTGCTGCTCCTGCAAGAACAAAGACACATGAGCACGTCCAGTACAGCTCGCTAAGTGTGCATGTTGGAGAGCAGAGGTCAGAAGCAACGTTTTCTATAAAAGCTTAAGTGATGGAGGTGTGATAGGTAAGTGGTGACCTGTTTGTATCGGCTCCACTCCTTCAGAAGCAGAGCTCGGCCCTCACTTTCTTCAAATGACAGCCTTGGTGCAGAGCGTTCCCTTTGAAAGAGAGTAATAAAAAAACAATTTATAGCACTTCTAAAGTCAGCGAGCATCACAATAGCAAGGAAAGAACAAAAGTACAGCAAGACGAATGATACATAAAATGTCCATAAAATATATTGAAATTTTAACGTTTTGTAAGTACTAACCAGTCTTCTGATGTTTTTATGTCTGGAAGCCTTTTTGCTAAAATGAGTGTTAAATCCATCCTTAATTCTCCAATAAAACAAGAACAATTGAAAAGATTTTGGCTATTTTAAATCTGAAACCCCTCAATAAACTGTTCATATTAAAACCCAAATCATGACTGTTTTGAACTGAATCTCTGGAGAACAGATCTGGATTCAGTCTGGTCCCTGAGTTCAGATTTCCAGATGTCCACAGGTTATGTAACACAGTGTTGAAAAATGTTATTAACCTCCTTGGATTAATTCAGCTGCTCCTCCTGCTGCTAACCGTATCTGGTGCAAGAGGAGTTTGACACTGCTTTCTGTCACAGCGGAGTGACTTACAGCTGGCAGCTATATTCAACAAAGCATCAAGACATAAAGGATGTGGCTGGCGTCATCCTTTATGTTTATTATTGTCTAAACATTTCCATGAAAAAATCAAAACCAACATGTCGTTAATTTATGCAATTAATAAATTTAAGAGTTTTGGTAAGCTATATCAGGTTTTGGCCACAGAGGCAATATGTTTTGGTTTGGTTTTCAGAGCATTTCATAACAATAAGAAAAACACTGTGTATGTACAAATAGGTGACGCATTAAAGGAAGAACCATCATGAAGCGTCTCAGTAAGGAGTCAGGCCACCACGAGCCTCTAGAACAGCTTCAGCGCTCCTCGCCAAGTCTGTGGAACTCTGTTGAAGGGATGAATACTGATCCTCCACAAGATGTTATCTCATTTTTGTACAAACATAGCCAGACATAACAAACACATTTGAGATGTTTCTCCACTCTTTTATTCAGGTTGTTTCTTTAATTTGCCCCCCGGCTGTACCCAGCAATGCAGGGATGGGAACAATGCCTCAACACAAATCTACATCATGACTTCCGTGTGAACAATGAGCAGTACCTTGTTTCATCCAAGCATTTGGCTGGAGTGATAAGGTCCTCTATCGGGATGAGCTCAGGTGGAACCTTCTCCAGCTTCTTCAGCTTCTTTCTCAGCCTCTCTTTTATCATCTGTTCCCTTCTTGGGTCCACTTTCTTCTTCTTTTTGGGCTCCGCTCTTAAACACAAAGTACAACTCTACGTGAGCATGTATAATGTATATTTTGAAACAGATCTGGGAAATACATGAGTGTAATAATATACTGATACTGTGACATATGAATTTTGGCTGACATAATGATGTAAAAATAAACAACAACTGCCATCATAGCCATATAATTTTACAGTTCTGCAGTAAGATTCGACAGAAACACTTCATTGCTTTGATTTCTTAACTTTTAAAAACAGTTTTCTGAGTTGACTTGAAACAAAATTGTGTGTCAAACAAGGTTGGACACACATCAGTGGCTTCATCTAACTCTGTTTTTAGAGGACGAAGTAACACAGCTGTAGACTCTGGACTAAAAACACATCACACCCATAGCTAGAAGTGCAAAAACAAAGATCTCCTCATATTGCTGACAAAAAAAGGAATATGAGGATGCCACCTTGGAAACTTGATGTTGACACGATGGACAGTTTTTGAGCATTAATTGATAAACAAACAATATAAATGCCCAAATAATTGACTATTATCTAGTGATCGCAATAATCAAGATGTTAAAACTATAAGACAAGACCGCTAGATTAGCAGTTAAATGCTGGATCTGACTTACTTCATATGCATATTCCCAAACAAATGTGCTATTAATCAAATTACCAAAAACCAGTGGACATGCGGTAAACCTGGGCCTTTTGAAGCCCCTGTGGTTCTGGGTCCTGAGGGCAGCTGGTTCATAATCCAGCCTTGATCATACCTCAGCGGAGCGGATGTCTTCAGCGTCATCACTGGTGCAAACCAAGGACTCTGTACAGCATGGTGATGTTCTCCCAACAGGAAGCTACACAACAACAGCACAACAAACAGTATCCAGGTCAAAACATGCCCGTGTGTGGAGTAGGTGTCAACCACAGATCAGACTGAGCAGCATTTCTCTCCTGAACAAGCTTAGCTGCGCGAGCTCCAGGTCGCTGCCAGAGAGAGTAAAACAAACGCTCACCTGGACGGAGCGGTCTGTCGGGACAACACCCTGCAGAGACAGCGCGACAAAGCCACAGACATGTTTCCCGCTGTGTTGTTTCACCTTAAACACACACTCGGGGTCAGAACAACAGAAATGTTCACATGTAGTTACATATCCGGTCGCTTGAGTGACACAACAGACGTGGCGCGGGAAGATGACGTTTTCGAGGGGTCGCACTTTCGAGCATTTTGTTATTATTTACATTGTTATATTTGCGTTAAATATATAATACGTCTAAACTACTATTTTACGACTAAAACAAAGCGGACAATCACGATTTTAAATATGTATTTAAATGTCTTGGTTTGAATGTATCTGTAACATCTGTGACGAATCTTCCTGACCCAGTGGAAAGTTATTGGCTGCTTTATTTAGGGGAAAGGTCGCGGTTATCCAGGGCTTTATATATTCACCGCGGGCTGACTCAGTGCCATAAGAAGAAGATATCGCTCCAAAATCTTGATCTTCACGTTAGTGTCTTGTTGAATCGGCGTCATGGCACTTCTCAGAGGTAAGCACTTTTCAGTTCATCAGGAAGCCAATAAACTAAGACGTGCATGCCAGGGGGGCTGTAGCTGTGCGGCGGTGACGAATATTAATTTTAGAGCTATATTTATCCTATTAGTGGACCTAAGTAGCATTATCTGTAACCTAAAATGTGTATCATCATTTTAAAGTCGACTTTCTGTAACTGTAAATGTCATTGAACGTTTTCTGATCACAGCTTCACCGCAAAATAGGCGAAAGGTGACATGATGATGTCAAGATCGATAACAGCTGTTTGTTGATTGAAGTGAAAATATTTGCTTATTTTTTAATAATAATGTTAAGTATTATCTCCAGTGGTGGAAGAAGGACTCAAATGAGTAATAACACATTATTAAAATACTCACGTGACGTGTAAGTTACGCATTAAAAACGTTAATCATGTACAGATATTATCAACAAAATGTATCAAGCTATTATTATAGCAATGGCATTATTGGATCATGAATATTCATGCATTAACGTGTACTTTGTTAATTGTATCTACATAAAGTCTGATTATATACGTTTTGAACGTATTTTAAAAAGATCTCAGATAAGTGTGAAGAAAGAAGTAAAATATTACCCTCTGACCTTAAGTGGAGTAGAAGTAGTAAGAGTAAAGTAGCATAAATGCAAATACAAGTATCTCATAAATAAAATAAAGTTAGTTGTAAATGTACTTAGTTTCCACCAATGATTATCCCATCACAAATCTTTTAGCTCTTCTCTTATGTTCATTTAATTTTTTAGTTTTAGTTTTAGTTTTCACTTGTTTTGGTCCACATACAGAGTAGTGTAACAGAGGATATATTGCAAAACACTAAACACACACCTCCAGCCAACTCAGGGGTTACAGTATGGTTAGTCAAAACCCAAACAAATGCCCAGTGCAGTGCAAATCAATGCAATTGCAAGTCAAGGTACCTGCTCCTCCGGACACGTAGGCACCAGAGGTTGTTCAACTGTTCAATGTCTGATTAGAAACTTAAAGGCTTATCAACAAAGTGACTTGTTTATTATGAAACACTGTGCGTCATGGAAGCAATTTGCATTAAAGAGAAAATGTGTGCATGTTTTTCAAATCAGTTCTTGACAATAGTGGTTGAGATGAAGCTAACTGACCAGAGTAATGAAAATGATCTATAAATTAAAACATTTTTTAGGTTTTGCACATGAAGCAAGTTGCAAAGGATTGAAACTTTTTATTTGTCTATTACACAGTATATTCTTTCAAAGAATTCACCACAGTTTAGTGCATGTTAACCAACAGGTTTAACTTGCCGATTAAACATTCACCACAACCCCGTTTCACTGAAGAGAGTTAGAGAGAGAGAGAGATAGACTGTAGTTTAATATTGCTCTTTAATCAACAGACATGGTTTATATAATTCATTTGTTAAAATTACAAAATAAATGCCTAAACATTAATCTCATGTGTGTGTGAGAGAGATATATTTCAGGGAAAGCGGTGTATACTCTACCTTGAGTACTAAAAAGCCAGAAGTAGCTGCTTCTATTGTCCCTTCAGTCCAATTTGATCCATCTGATGTCCGTCCCCCCTTCATACTGTATTATTATCTTCTGCATCTCAGTGCACTGTGTCAACCATCTCTGCAGTATTTACCACATAGTGTCTCCTAATGCTGTGATCTGGCTGTGGCTCAGTAGTGGTGGGTGGTTTAAAGTCCTTGCCGCTGAACTAAAATACTGTTTGTCTGCAGGCGTATTTGTTGTAGGTGCCAAGCGCACTCCGTTCGGTACCTATGGTGGCGTGCTGAAGGATCATAGTGCAACAGACTTGGCTGAGCATGCAGCCAGAGCTGCCCTTGCTGCAGGGGCCGTGGCACCAGAACTTGTAAATAGTGTCATCATGGGAAATGTCATGCAGGTACCTAAAATCCAACAGATCAACAGCCATATTTAACAGACCGCAACTACAGTTGCATGAAAATGGTAACATGCTCATTTGTGTGCTGACCTCGGTTTGTTCCTCACCTTTTCGTTTCTCTTTATGTGACCCCTAATTTCAGAGCTCAGCTGATGCACCCTACATCGCTCGTCATGTGGGCCTGAGGTGCGGGGTTCCCATCCCAGTGCCTGCTCTCACTGTGAACAGACTATGTGGATCTGGCTTCCAGTCAATCATCAATGGTGCTCAAGTAAGCACTCCACCAAGAGCAAAACACATTCTGGCAGAAATACAAATGTACAATAAACCATAGTGTTGTACACTCTGGGGCCACTTTATCAGGCAACGTTTTTATTTATTTATGTCAATTTTTTTTTTAGCTCTAAAACAAAAACCTGTTTTGTGTGTGTTTGTAGGAGATTTGCCTCAGAGATTCAGAGGTGGTCCTGTGCGGAGGTTCAGAGAGCATGAGCCAGGCCCCATATGCTGTTCGCAACATAAGATTTGGTACAAGGTTTGGAGTGGATCTCAAGGTTGGCTTCCTGTAGATTTTTTCTTTTCTCTGTAATACCCGAACACTTGACACAAATGTACATGGAGCCATGTGATGGCTATAAAGACAGCTTGGTATTAAACTCCAGAAGTTTTTGAAAGAAAGATAAAATCTCTCCCGGTCTGCTTGACAGCTAGAGGACACCTTGTGGGCAGGTCTGACTGATCTGCATGTCAAAATCCCAATGGGCATCACAGCAGAAAACCTGGCAGAGAAATACCACATCACACGAGAAGACTGTGACAGCTATGCACACCAGACGCAACAAAGGTGGAAGGCAGGTAAGATAGGTTGCATTTTTTTATATCTTTAACATATTTTCATGGTCTGCTCAGGTTACATATAGCAACAATGAAATCTAGACTGGAAGTTAGATTTGCTGCTGAAGACCAGCTCATTCTTAATGTTTAAATCATAACTTTCCTCTATTTACAGCTCATGAGGCTGGTCGCTACACAGCAGAAATTGCTCCCATTGACGTGAAAACGAAGAAAGGCAAGGTGTCCATGGCTCAGGATGAACACCCTCGTCCACAGACCACCCTGGAACAGATGGCCAAACTGGCTCCAGTCTTCAAGAAGGGAGGGACTGTTACTGCTGCCAATGCTTCAGTGAGTTCATGCATAATATTTCAGGATTCGAGTATTTTTAATCATTCCAGTGAACGTCAAGCAAGTGGTCTGTTCTACTTTGAACAATAAAAATGTTTAATACTTTGTATTGAAAAGGTTCAATTTCTGTAACATGAAAAGCTAGAAACATCTATTTAGTTGTTAAATAAGTTATGAGTTGTGGTGGCGTCATTTCCACAGTTTGAGTCTAACACAGTAAAATATATAAACAGTATATATATAAATATTGTGCAACTAGTGTTACTCACTTACCTTAAGAAGTAGCTTAATATTTCTAAATCCAACTCTCTCTTCCTGACCTCAAGGGTGTATCTGATGGTGCTGCTGCTGTGGTGATTGCAAGTGAAGATGCACTGAATGAACACAAGCTCACTCCACTGGCCAGAATCGTGGCCTATCACGTGTCAGGCTGTGACCCGAGCATTATGGGAATTGGTGAGTTGATGCCACTGTTATGGAGATGTGATTAAATCCCTTTGAAATAAAAGGGAATGAATGACTGTTGTGACATGTGTTCTCACAGTAAGACTTTCTGTTTTTCTTAAATAATCTTAGGTCCGGTTCCAGCGATTACAGAAGCTCTCAAAAAAGCGGGTCTGACTATAAACGACATGGATCTCGTGGAGGTTTGTTATTAGTAAATCTCTGTAACGTCCTCTCTCAGGTTATGTCAAATGTTTCTTCAGTGGTGGAAGAAGTGCTCACATCCTTTCCTTTCTTTTCCTTTATGAAAGTACCAATCTAAAAAATAAAGTCCTGCATTCAAAAGTTAAAGTATTATCAGTAGAATGTACTTGAAGTATCAAAAGTACTTTTTTTGTGAAATATTGAATAATTTTACTGCTTTTGACCTCAAACAATTATTTTAATGAAACCACGTAAGAATTTTAAAGGGGAAATGTCTCTTTGGTGAAATTGTTAAGAACTCACAGACATCTGAAACTAGACAAAGCTTTTTAATGAAGCGTTCACAAGCCAAAACAGGTTAGAAACAACTGATTTAATTTTTAAAAATGTGTTTTTTAATAATATAATATTATTTGCCATGTAATTAATTAGTAACTGTAGCAGTCAGATAAATATAGTGGAGTAAAAAGTATAAATTGTTCCCTTTGAAATGTAAGGGGGTAGAAGTATAAAGTTGCTTATAGTGGAAATACTTAAATATAGTACCTCAAAATTGTAAAATTGAGTATTACTTTCCGAAACTGCATTTCCTGTATCTTTTGATTTGCTCATATTATTAGAATGTCATTAATGTAATTTGCTTCTCACAGGTGAATGAGGCCTTTGCCCCTCAGTACCTGTCTGTTGCCAAGGCTCTAGGTCTGGATCCAGAGAAAAGCAACGTTAACGGTGGAGCTATTGCCATCGGACATCCTCTCGGTGCTTCTGGAGCACGTATCACTGCCCACCTGGTTCATGAGCTCAGGTAGCCTTGTCCTCAGTAATTGTATGTAGAGTAAATCAGGGGAGATGTCTGCACATTAAGTAGCACTGAATAATGAGCTTTGTTTTCGACAGGCGACGAGGAGGCAAGTACGCTGTCGGCTCTGCCTGCATCGGTGGTGGTCAGGGCATCGCCATAATCCTCGAAAATGTCTGACTGAAGAAGCTGACAATAGAAGAAGAATTGCTGTAGAAGAATGCCTTACACCACCGTCCACTCGCATTAATTAAAATACAGTTAACATATGCTAAAAAGAGATTTTTAAAAAACCTTTCTCATACTGTACATACAAAGCGGCAAATGTTCTCAACTTGAGGCACTGTTACACAGTAACTGGCACACAAACAAAACTATCACTCAGCATAATTGTTCTGTTTACTTTTGTTGCTTATTACAGTCTAGTTATTCAAAAATGTACAATAAATGTCCAGTGTTGCCTTGGAAGCCCTGTGAAGATAAAGAGCTAACTCATGTTTCTGTGCTCGTTGAACTAGGGTGCAAGAGACTGTTTATGTATGTGCCTGTAATACAGGGCTAGGTACTTGGTCACACATGTTACACATGTAGCAGATTATTAACTCATAAAGTACAGTTTGTAAGGTTTCAAGGAACCCTGATGTTTGCCTTTTCTGTTCTCTATCACTCCATTATCAGGAATCAGTATTGCCAGTCTGACCTGTGATGGCTCCATCCTAAAACTGATTTTCTATTTCTGTGTGTCAGTGAATCTCAATCTCAATAAATCCCATTTTCAATAAAAGAAGTCAAGTTCTGTATTTGAAGTGTTCTTGATTGGCCCTTCACAGTACCTGATGCTAATTCTTTACCTAGTTCAGCAGGTAATTCAATTCAATCTTTACATAATAAGTGCTTTAGGTAGTTGGTAAAGAGATCGTTTGACATTTGTTATTTTGGTACATAAGCTCAACATGTCAACATAGAAAAAACTGATGGAGAAAAGATTACTGACTGAATGGTGTCAGATATGGACATACTTAATACACTTAATACTTAATTTCAATACACAGTGATGGCCCTACAACCTTTAGTTTTTATTGAACAATGCAGAACATAGACAAATGTCTGCTATTAAGGTGTTACTTATAGAAGGAATGGAAAATAACAGAAAACATCAATGTTCTTCACAATATCTTCTAGAAAATCAATGTTAAGCTCTGCTGTCAGAGAGATAATTTCATAGGAACCTTGCTTGTTGTTCTTTATTAAAGGGTAAATGAATGTTACTTTCCATTAAGACAATGAAGCTCTATACAATCATTGTTAATATGAGCAGATACAAACAAATATATTTAGATAAAATAGATTTGCAATCAACTAAAAATAATTTTAAAACCCTGTCCACAATTTTGGGGACTACCAGTCGTTAAAAGTGTTGCAATGTTGCTTTTTATTTATACCACAGTGAGAATAAAGGAATAATATATTTAGGACTACAAGGACCATCACACCCTCCAAACTCGACGCAACTACGTCAACATCATCGTGCAGCGTCCTTATATACGTCACATCCCCGGATGTCGGTCTTTTTTTCATAGCAAAGGTAAGAGAACCTTGCTTTCGTGTTGCTGTAGGAATAAAATCTGTTGTCATCTGTGCTACAGAATAAAAAATACAGTCTCCAAATATAAAGAAACGAATCAGTGTGTGTAGACGGTGCGTTAGACATCGTTATTACCTTGATTAATCCGTCAAGTCTGTAATAATGAGCAGTTTGGTGCATCGTCGGTCCTAGGCCGCCGGCTAGCCTTCGTGCTGTCTGTAACATTGGCTAGCTGGCTAATAGAAACCTGTTCGTTAGTATTCTCTGCTGTCTACACATACAATTCCGCTGTCACGTATTTAACTTTCCTTTAAAACATTTAATATTTGAAAAGACAAATGTCTGGCTAACCAGTAAAGCGACTCTTCTGTACTATGTTGCTAACTGCTAGCTAACGTTAGTTGTCATGCCTTCCCTGCGTTGGAAATGGCTGTGGTGTTTAGCAGTCAAAGTAATGTAGTAATTGTAGTAACAGCCACTTTTCGCCTTTTTTTTACCAATACTAATGGGGTTGTGGTATTTTCCGCTGTTAACCACTGCATTGTGTCGTTAAGAGGAACAGTATTTACATGACTGTTGTCGTAGTCATTGACACAGTGGTAGT